TCCATGATTAGAGAGTTTATCCTTGATGAAGCCTCTCCCCTATTGGTGTTAGTAGGTTTCACCCTCTCTCTCTCTCTCTACTCATGAAGAGGAGGATGCGTCAAAGATATATTATCCCCCCTCCAAATCGTTTTAGTATGACTTATGGTATATGAACATGAGGAGAAAATAAGTTTAATAAATTACTTAGAGTTGACATCTAGAGGTTTATTGTAATGAGGGTGCACTTAGCCTAAGCTTAAGTTAAATGTATTCATGAAGGATATGCAGCCATCAAGGATAAAGAAGAATGCCAAGAAAAAAGTACTTATATTTTATATTTATTAAGTCTTGTTGTATGTTCCAGGTATATAATTTTTGTAAAACAACAAAGAGCACACACACAAGTAAGAACTAAATATTAGATAAAAAATGCCTGGTACTAATTAATTAATATAACCTAATCTATTGCAAACTGTATTGAAAGATCATACTGCAATAGTACAATAAGTTTCTGAAAGATCATGTTATTTTGATTACCAATAAATTTAAAATTATAATTGTAGTACTAATTGTATTATATGATAATGTTCCAATAGTGCAATAAGTAATTAAAAGGCTCCGCTCCTCTCAGCACGAAGTCGATTTTGGATTCGATTTTGTCGGATCTTCCGTTACCGGTGGTTCTCCGTCGGCCCATGGTGGCCGACGGAGGATCTTGGTGTGGGGTTCTTTTTGGATTTATAAGTGTTTTTCTACTTGGAATCTGGTTTTTAGATTTGATCGAATTCTTAGTTGTTCTTATGTTGGTTTTGGTTTGATTATGATCTTCTTGTGTGATCGGTGGTTGTTCAAGAAAGCTTTGTGTGAGTTGTTGCCTTATAATGGTGGATCGCTATTGTCTGAAGGCTCGCTTGCGAGATGGGTGTTAATCCTCTGTTTTCAATTGCAAACTGATTTTCTTCAGTTGTGGAAGGGAATTCTTGAAAAGATTTGCTGGATGTCTTCTCCAGAACATTTTATTCTCATCTTGAAAGTTTTTGTTGAGATCTGGAACAAGATCTTCAAGAATCATGAAGAAGATTATTCTCCTCCTACAGGGGCAAGATTGGAGGCGTGTGTTTTTGTTCTAATTATGGATCTTTGTTTTTGTATTATTTCGACTGAAGAAGGGAATTCTGCGGAAATTTATTTTGGGAAGTTCAGTATAATTATTTTGGTTGATGAATTTAATCCTGATTCTTTTGCTATTAGAGTTGAGGTTCAGTTTATTGCGATTTCTTCTCGGAAAGACGCCTTTATTGCAGTTTTTTGGCTGCATTTGTTTGATATTTACATGGAAGAAAATATGAGCCCTTCGGGTAGCATGAAGGATATAGAGTTTTTTAGTATTGGAACTTTTGAAGCTGTGATGTTCCTGTTCTTTTTGGGGAACTTTGATTGTGGAGAGGCCGATTCTTGGTCTCTAGTTGTGGGAGTTGGTGATATTGCTTCGTCGACTTTGTTTTGTTTGTCCATGGTGGTTGTGGATGGTTGCATTGAGGTTTCAGAAGATACTACTCTTGATTGGAGTTTGTTGGCCTCAAAGGATGTTCAGGACGGTCCTTTTGATGTTTTGGCAGCTACGTTCTTGGTGGCTGTTGTTGGTTATGTTGGAGCAACAACGAATTCTATTCTTGATTGGAGCTTGTTAGACCCTATGATTAATGAGGGTCGGCTTTATGTTTGGACAACTGGTTTAGTAGTTGTTTTTATTTTTCTTGAACCTAGTTGTCATTTGCTTGTTTTGCTTTTAGGCTTATTATACCTTTTTAAAACCATTATGATAATATATGGGATTTTTACTAGGTTTTATTTTTCATTTTTTGGGAAAGCTGGGATACTAATCAACCTTTTAGGTTGTTTAAATATTTGGTATCCCCATCACTCCAATGGATCTAAAATGGAATTTAGTGTATCGCATATCCATTATGATAGTTTTAAAGGGTTTGTTTTTGCTTTCTAGTTTGTAATAGGTTTTTCTTCTTTTAATGCTATTTGCATTTCTTCAAATATATATATATATATAGTGCAATAAGTTATATTCAAATTTGCATAACTTTTATATACTTTTTTTCTTAAATAAATAAATTCAAAATTTTAACTAATCTTATTATATGATATAGATCATACATTTTGAATATCTAATTAATAATTTCCTAATTAAACCACAAATTAAGGAGTATATCAAAAATCAAATTCAAGAAAATTTTGTATTATATGATATAGATCGTATATGCTAATCAAACAGAGAGAGTTTTTTTCTTAAAATTTGTTAAATATACTAATCATATTGTATGATACTAATCATCATGTATGATATAGTGTAAACAAACATAGATAGTTTTTTTTCAAAGAATCATCCAATTGTATTAATCATTAATGAATTTGACTATATGTTCTGGTTGAAATTTTTAATAAATAGTCTTTTAGGGTTTCAAATTAAACCACTCTATCGATACATTTTCCTAAACCCTAAATTTTGTTATCTTATAATCTATGGATTTTTCTTGATGAGTACTTTAAAAGCTTTATGGCTTCAACATTAAATTTCGAATATATTAAAAGTAATTTCATAAATACTTGATTGGGTATTTATGGTATTATTCATTAAATATAATTCAGCTTGATCTCAAATTAGGAGAGATTAATCTTGGATATGTATGTGACATGTCCAAAAGTATTCCTCTCTATTTGAAAGTTTTAAGAGCTGTAATTAGCTAATTTGAAAATATGGGTAAAAAATTGACCCATAAATCTAAATTGCTATTATATATATATATAATTTTTTAAAATATTCATTTGAAAAAAGTTTAGAAATAAATTAACTAAATAAGTCAAGCTTGATATAAAATTTATAGATTTAAAATATTATTAGAATTAAATAAATAAGGTAAAATTGAATAACATAAATAAAGAAGATAATTAAATCAATGGACTATATGTAGTTGATTTGATCTCTTAGGGGGAGTCAAATGCATTACAATTATGAGCCTAGATTCTTGCAATTGAAAGCTTCAAAATCTTGAAGTAATCAATTGATAAAATTCTTTAAAACCTAAATTATTAAAACACCTAAATAAAATAAAGGGCTCTATGCATTGGATTTCACCCCATAGGAGAGATCAAATACATTATAAATATGAGCCTAGGATTTGTTGATCAATGACCCCTTGCACTTGGGGGTTGTTGAGCACTATGTTCTTTAAAACTTAAACTAAACAATTCAACACTTAAAATAATATTCTTTTAAAACAATTTAAATTATAAATTACTAAAATTTAAATTGAAATAAACCCTCTTTAATCTAAAACAAATTAAAAATAAAATCTTAAATAACATTAAATAATAAATAACCTAGGAATTATCCAAACTATACAGGTTGGTACACACACTTTAGATGATTTGATAGGGCTATTAACTCTAGCCTAAGCTAGTCTGGTGGTGTGGTTTATTGTGATGCATATACGTTACTTGGAGGGCGTCTTTTATTTGTTTACTTACTTTTCTGCACCTAGATATCATGATTATATTTCTTGTTGGTGCACCTTAGACTCTTCCAGGTTGCATTGGATGCATTTGGTCTTACACACCTACATTACACTTCTATGTTCTTTATATACATTACTATTTTACTTAAACTACATAAAGTAGAATATGCATAGTACCAAATGTAAATGTAAATGTATAAATATAAAGTTCTTGATTATTGTATAGCTAGATTGAGTTGTACAGTGTCAAAAATTATAAAGCTTAAAGATGATTGCTTATATATATAGAAGTTCCAAAATGAAATGATTCTTCTTCTTTTTTTGAAAATTACTGTCTTTTGGAATCTTGAAAAAGATCATAGAGCCTAAAAATAAAGACTAAAATAAGCAATACTATTTTAATCTATATCATATAGTGATAAAAATTTAGGTGTGTCGTGATGGAGCCTTGCCACCTTTTCTTTTAAGCAAATCCTAGTTTGTACTATACATTAAAATTAAATGTATAAAAGTTTTATGAAATAAAAAATAAAAAATAAAAAATAAAAAAAGTATAAAAGTTTTATTTATACACTGCTCTTTCATAAATTGCTTCACTTACATCTATTGCATTCATCTGGGTGGTAGATTTGCATTAGAGGGTAGCCTTTTCATAGGTTTAACTTTTTTCGGTGTGCATGTTCCTGACTTTGTAATAACATGTATGTTAGTTCTAGGATGATATGTAATGGTATAGTATACATGAACACCTTTACCATGATATGCATACATATATACATTTTAAATTCATGCAATGTACACTAGCCCACTGCGCAAAAGCCATTGACAAGGAATAAGGAGCATAAGAGTCGAGGTTGTCGTAATTTTTCAATGGGTTAAGGTCGTTATGCTGTCGATTTTTTCTAGAAAATTCAGACTTACAAATTTTCAAATGTTTAAAATTAACTAAAAATAAAATTTAAAGTTCAAGAGATCTTTGAGTCAAAGTTGCACTAAATATATGTCTTTACATATTAAAGATTCTTAATTAAAGTTTTATAAACTAAATATCCTTGATTTCTTATAGACTATCTTATCTTACATTCTTAAGAAAATAGATTGCTTATAGGATGTTAGTTGAAAGCCCACTATAGACAGACATAAGTCCATATTGAATACACATTTCTAGAAAAGATGCATGCTGCCAAGAAGGAAGTAAGAGAAATTATAATTCAAATAATTTGCTAATGGATGTATAATATTGACATTCCAGTTTTCAATGTTATGAGGTATGATAGCTTTCATTTTGTGGTAGGCATTTTGACAATTTGATCAAGATGAAACCTACTAGCTATTATATGGTACGGACACTTGAAAAAAATTTCACCATTAAGTTACCTGCTTATATTCCGTCAGTTAGGCCGCCGCTTTTCTGGTATATGTCTATCCGCCGGAAAGTCTCACGATAATGACATAATTTACTGTAGTAAGTGTTATTGGCAAGTAAACAAATACATGAATGACAAGCATCTCTCAACCACTAATCATGTTGTACATGAGTAAATACGGAGGAGACATGATTTCTTCTTTCATTAATCAAAATGTTTTCCATCTCAGCCTTCACTGGCCTCCAAATCAAAATAATGCAATTATTTGTTCAAAACAACTCTCTTATATCATAAAAAACTAACTTATTACATACGAAAAGCAGCAAAATTCATCAGAAAAGCAACCAACGATGAGAGAATCAAATCCTCTGGTTTCATCATATACTAAAAAAAGAACTCATACCTCACTTCTCCTTGTCGCAATAGTGCCTTTTGAGAGCCCTGGGCAGATAAACTGGTAAAAGAAACCCAAACAGATTAAACGCCCAGAATGCCAGATTAGCCAGCGCCAAGCTCCTACCGGCGAGCAATCTCAGCGCCGACCACTGTTCCCCGCTGGCCGCTGCTTCCTTCATCATCTCACAAGTCACCCAATCTATGAGAGCAAACATCCTCATCGCGTTGTAGGAAACCGGCACAAATGCCCGGATCGGCAGCGAGAACTGGTAAGAGAATGTCACACCTTCCATGAAAACCTGGCTCGCTAGCAGAAATACGTGCGGTGCGGCGGCCTTGATCCCTTCTTTGTCTCCCTCTATTATGCCGCCAAGGATGTAGGCGATCGGAAGGAGAAGACCGAGGAGAGCGCCGATGATGACATAGACAGCTAGGAGGCGATTACCAGGCCCAAAGACAGGGGGTTCGACGGATTGAGAGGGGCGGAGAGGGGGAAAGGCAAAGCGGGAGAGGAAGATCATGTAGGGCAAGGAGAGAAGTGCAATGACGATGTCATCGGCGGCAACCATGCCAGAGGCGGCGAGGACGATGGCGACCGCGAGTGCGTTGAGCTGCCGTAAAGATAGGAAGTGGTGGTGCGAAGTATGTTTGGGGACGGCGACAGTATCGTCATCGCCCTCGGAAGGGAGGGCGATGTCCTTCGTAGTCGGCCCGATTCCGCCCGACATCAATTTGATCTTCAATTAGGGTTTGTCCGAATCAGGGTTTTTACTGATTGAGGAGCAGAATCGAAGAGGGGAAGGAGTTGCAGAGAGAGAGAGAGAGAGAGAGAGAGAGAGAGAGGAGGGAAAGAGTTTGTAGCGATCGGAGGACATGTGGCCGATGAGCAAGATTACGTGGAGAGAATTGGTTAGAAGTTGACACGTGCGGTTGGAAGGAAGATGAGTTTTTTTTTTTTTTAATTAGGATCTAACACCCACGTTGCTTAGTTTGGTTAGTGGGTGAGTAAGGTTGGGAATCATACACAACTCTCCTTGGCCTATTGGTTGAGAGCTTAGGCTTCCAACTAAGAGGTTCAAGGTTCGAGTCTTTGTGTATGCGTTGTGTGTGTGAGTTTGCGGTTGTGGTTTGGGATTGGCCTGAAAGAGCATGAATATACCAAAAAAAAAAAAAAAAAAAGGTTGGGAAGCATAACCCGTGCTCGATTTTCCTCGAGCGGCAGCGTCTCTTTAGTGGGGCCCAATCAAATGCAGGCCAAGAGGTTTTTAGAGTGGGTGTCTCTTCTTGATCAGTCGAGTATTAGTCATATCGCCAAACAGCCTTTCAGATGTGAAAGTGGGTAGATATCCTGTAAAAATAATAATAATAATAATAATAATGATAAAGCAAATCTAATTTCATTCAAAAATGAACAACTATTTTTTTATAAGAATTTAAATCCATAACAACCAGAGTTTTTACGTGGAAAACCCCTGAAAAGGGGGAAAAACCACGAGGCCTAGCCCAGTTTGAATGAATCCACTAGTATTTGTAGTCGATTACAAATGAGGCCCTTCCTTTGGAGAAGGAAACATATAGATTGCATTATATGGTAGGAGTTACATATACATGTTTGTTTGGTCGGAAGGACCGTAGTCGGCAGGAGACCGGGGTCAGAAAGACCGTTGTTTGTTGATGGAGGTCGGACGGATAGTAGTAGGCGACGGAGGTCGTAAGGACCGTAGTCGGCAGAAGACCTGGGTCAGAAAGACCGTTGTTTGGTGATGGAGGTCGGAAGGACCATAGTAGGCGACGGAGGTAAAAATAATTTCATTCAAAAATGAACAGCTATTTTTTTATAAGAATTTAAATCCATAACACCAACATTCTTGTATTTATATATCTAACATATTATTTTGTCTATTTATTCATGTATCACATAAAGTTTTAAAATTCAACAACATCTTAACTTCCATCTCTGATTTTGCCTTGTTATCCTCAATAATAAAATTGTTGTCTTCCCTACAAGTTACTTAGCTAATAGCATGACATTGATGAGTTCTTACAAACATATTTAGCTTCGCAAGTAAAGAATATTATAAAGATTTGCTTCTTTGATTTCAAAATAATGTGAATGCTTATATGGGCATATAGTATTTTTTTTTTCTCTAAAGTACTAATCGATTTGATTATTTCAAGCTTTTCGTGCTTGTATAGATCATATAAGGTCATCTTCAATTTTAAGATTCTATCTCCTTTCCTTTTTACTTTATATCTTAAAGGTTTGTCATTGTAAAATTTTTTACTCAAAGAACTTTATTCAAGAAAACAAAGTTCATTCCATTTAATAGAATATTCATACATGTTTAGGTGTTAAGGAAATAATTAGTCTTATAATTTCAAGTTAAATAATAGGAGAAAATCCTCATCATAGACAATATTATATATTTTTTTTATTAAATTTCTTTGCATATCCTTTACATTCCTATTCAATTTATATGCACGTTTAACTTTAATCGCCTTTGTGTCTTTATGGAAGTATAATTGATGATCATTGAGACCATTTCAGTCTGATTAGTTAATGCAAATGCTTATGAATATTTATTTTACTATTTAAAAGAGTTATATGGAGTTTTTTTGTTGAAAAGACAAGGGGATTGGATGGGTATGGTGTTTTTTTTTTTGGAACGGGGGTATCGCCCACTGCGCAACGTCAGTCCCTCGGTTTCGACGAGTCTACCAGCAACTAGCCCCACAGGTGCATGAGATGGGTATGGTGATAGGAATGATAAGACAAGTACTGTTTAAGCTAGTTTGACCTGATTTGTAAGTTCACTATAGGTAGGTAATGGGTTTTGAGTGTCATAAATGACCAGAAATGATGATTGAGTATTAGATTAGGATATGAAATTTTTATTTGATATATATGGTATAGTTTTATGAGTTGAAATCTTATAGTAATATTAAGAACAAGACTTGTTATAATTATGGGAGCCAAAATTAGACTAAGGGCTTGAAGAGGGCTTTGGTTCATTTTTAAGCTTAAGTTATGCATGGATAATATTAAAAGATGGGTAGTGTATTCAAGAAGATGCCAAAGAGGTTTAGAAATAATTTAAGAAAAGTAAAAAAAATTAGCATAAAAGATAAATAATCAATCACATCAATGTTGTCAAGGTAGGCCACCAAACATTAACCAAAAGAAACTAATTTCCTCCAAAATATTTTTGTTATTCAAAAGCTAAATTTTCCAATTACATACTAGCACTATTTATAGAGTTATAATGACTACCAAAATTCAAAAACAAATTTTGTTTAGGGGGGAAGGCAGAAAGGAGTAGGTTGTAATTAATTGAGGAATGTGTCAGCAATGTTTAAGAATTCATCTTATATCTATTAAATTATTAACCCATACATGTTCTTTAATATTTAAATAAAATGTACAAGTTGTTAAATAAGATTACATAAGTAGAGATTTTCTATATGTTTTTTTAATGCTATAATATCTTCAATATTAATAACTAATGAATGAGCATATCAGTAGGTAATGAAGATGATAAGCATTTGATCCATTTTCTTTAAGAATTTCAAAAGGATTACAAGTTCTTGCATATAATTTTTTTATTATTTGGTGATTTACTAATGCTTGGGATTAGTGTGAATAAAGAAAATAATTATTTTCTTTTTATAATATCATGTTGAACAATTAAAATTTATCTTGAAAACATTTTTCTGTACTTATAGTAATTTTCTATCTAAATGGAGGCTTTAAAAGTTATTTGCAAATGAAAATATTGCATCAAAAAAGGCATGAGTTGGTAGATTTTTTTTAATGCATGAGTTGGTAAATTAATTCACTGCAGGAAAATCAATTATTACCGGCGGCATTTTCTGATGGTTTTGTAAATTTCTGGTGGCTTTCCGAAGACAAATTTTTCGCCGATAAAACACGCGTAGGAAAAATATTTCCTGTGGCAAATCTTTATGACGGCAAATCTTTATGGAAGTTTTTCGGTGGAAAAGGCTACTGGAAAATATCTAAAATTTAATTAAAAAAAAAAACTAAAGGTATAGAGCTGAGTGTGAGCTCCAAATCGGAGGTACGCTTCAACTCGGGCTCTGGGCAAGCCAGCGCAAAATCAAGTGGGCGGTCGCGGCTGAGATATGGGCAGCCGGCAGGGGCAGGGCAGTGGCTAGCGCAATCTGTACCGGGTATAGCTT